TTAGGAATAGGAAAATAGCAGGAAAATGTGAGAATAGGGATAGGGCAACGGGCTCTCTCACTCATCGGACGAAATGCAGCCATCAAAGACTACTTCACGCCGATCTTCTGTGAGAGGGTGGTAATTCCCCGGTCGAGCCAGCCCATGATTGAGCTGCAGTAACTTGACTACAGCTAGGCTCTGCCACCTACAAATTTTATTATTAAATTTCAATCTATGATTTCACAAAAGAGCGGGTTAATTGTTTCTTCACTAATACGTGCAAAAGATGGTCCTTCTATACGAAGACTATGGGGCAGCATCAACAGCATCCTAAATATGATATGTAGTAGACTGATTGCTCTTACATAAATCATTGTAACGCAATCTCTCGTCGGATGCAGTAACAATGCCAATATTAGCATAGTTTTATAAGTTTTTAATTGTTACTAACAAATTTTTGAGTTAATGTTACTTTATTTTTGATTATATAAATAAATAAATAATGAATGCGAAACAAATCTTTAATAATTCCAATGTTATTAAAATGCTAACTGTAACCTCAAGTAAAAATATATACATATGTTGAATATTTATTTATAAAAGATTGTCTGTACGATATATGCTTATTCTATTATAACACTGAATTTTTGATTGTTAACACGTATGCCTTGTTATTCGAACAAGGAAAGAGAACACTATTTTTAGGGAGAAATTAAGCATTCAAGAGTTCCTAACCTTAAAAAAATACTTAATTATATAGATATGAATTATAAATAAAAAATTTACGTCAATACGGCAATAAATTATTTCTGTCAACAGATATTATACTATATTAAAAAAAACATTACGTATATTACAAATCAATTCAAATTTATTTAAAAATCAAAACATACTTTTTTGTTTCCAAAATAAATATATTTTTATTGTTAAAATATTGCAGATATTAAAAAATGGCAAGTAAATTTTATTTATGAGAAAGTATTTATTAAATATTGCGAAGATTTTATTGCTTTTAGTATTTTATTTTTGCAAAGCTGGGAATTTTTTAACTGTGACCCGAAATAAAAAGATATGAAATTAAAAAAATTGTGCCTTCATAAATGCTGAAAATTAAAACCTGATCTTCATTACTAAGTTACTCAATAAAAGTTTATGCAATAATAATAGACAATCAGTCAATCCTAATTGATGCTTACATCAAACAATAGACAAATCAGTGTTTAAGATAATTATTTCTTTAAAAAATAATAAAATTATCGTTTTCACGATGTATGTCAGAGCGTGCAATAAGAATGTAGAAATATGTATACACACACACACTCATATACATATATATAATAACAAGCCACATGAAAGTTTTTAGCAAAACGAAGTTTTCGTATGTAAATAAAATATTGGTCGGTTAAATATTTCTTTATTTTTAATTTAAACAGTATAAAAATATTTTATTATAACAAATTGGTAACATCCGCTTTTTTATACTAAACAAAAAATTATATACTACTAACTACTAAAGCTATTGTGTACAACTTATGTAAAATTTTAAATTTCTTTGCCTATGCCTATCAGCCTATCAGAGCCCACTGCTGAGCAAGGCCTCTTTCTCACATGGAGAAGGTTTGAGCATTAATTAAATTTCTTTAATTCATCGAAAGCATATGACTAGGTTCAAGAATCAAAATATATTATTTTTAAAATGTGATAAAATATCACCAAAGAAATCTTAATAAAATAATAACTTAGAACTAATTCCTTTAAAATCTCCGATACAATTCTTCTAAAAATCACTTAATAATTGTTGTACAGTTATTAATAAATATTAATTTAAATGATTCACTTAATATAATAGTGTTCAGAGTTTTATAATCTTAATTGTATTCAATTTTAAAAAACAGTTTTATTGTAAATGTCATGTTAAATCCGACAACTATAGTTGAAATTTGGACATGTTGTAATAATTATGTACTAAGCTCCAATTACCTATTCGAAGGTTTTCTTCTACATGTCTTTCTATCGGACCCTTCCTGTTTTAGAATATTAATCGAATAAAATTTCAAAATTATATTTTATTTTGTGTAATAATGCATATTACTATATATACATATATGACAGGCCATCCAAAATTTAATATTATTGAGAAATTATATACGTTGTTTTAAGTATATTACTAAATATGGTGCTTTTTAAAACAGTTAAAAATGTATAACACTATGTAATTTTTTGTGTGACAAATTATAATCATCAATTATAACACTCACTCGCAATTATTTCTAGAAGTTAAGAATTTTTTTTAAAACAATTATTTTATTTGTATACATTGGATTAAACGTTGCTGGTATAGAAGAAGACAGATGTTTGTTTCAATGGAAATTCCACATTTAGTTACTTTTTAGTTAACATGACTGCTATTACATTATTATTATTTATTATTAATACAAAATTTGCCAACCATTTTCATTCCATCATTACATTTTTCTAATAACTTACTTTAAAGAAATTTTAAAAAGATTTGTAAAATAAATTTATATCTACTATATCTTTTAGCAACAACACTTTTTATTCCATATACGTTTTATTGAAACATCATAATTATCTGAAATCCGTTTTAACATTGCGCCTACCGAGAGCAATTTGAATCTCATTAAAAGTCTTCCCTTTAGTTTCAGGAAGAAAAATAGCTATCAATGCAACAAGTAATAAGCACATTGCGCTGAAAAACCAAAAAGTTTCTGACACTCCCATCGCCACGGTCATTGCTGAGAAATACTTAGAAACCAAAAATGTAATTAGAAGGAATACCCAAAAACTTAAATTAACGCCAATCGCACGAGTTGTTCCTTCAAATAATTCCGCAGTCACTATAAATATTAGACAGCCAATACCTACAAACAAAAAAATTTATATTTAATTTTGTACTTAGTAAATAACACCTATATATCTATACATATAATAAAATTGTAGAAAAGTGCTGTCTGTACATTGAAAATAAAAATAAAAAAAATAGCAGGGGTTATTGTTATGTCGATGTCGAACCCAAAAATGTAATTAACTTTTTTTTGTCTGTTTGTCTGTTCACGCTAATCTCAGAAACGACTGATCCCAGTTGGATGCGGTTTTCACGAATATATTGTGGTATGCTTCAGTAATGCTTTAGTGTTTGTTTCATGTCAATCGGTTCATAAATAAAAAGTTATGTCAAATTAAAGAATCACGTCGATCACTATTCTATGCTTATACTATGCTGCTATTCTATGCTTCTATACTTATACTTAAAATGACTGTGATTATGATCCAAAATAAAAATAACTATATATATTTAAAAAAAACGCTGCTCATAGTCACTATTCCAAGCGAACGAAGTCGCGGGCATAGCTAGTATAAAATAATAATATAAACAAAAACTTACCTATATTAAAGCAGTATGTACTGACTACTAAGGATATCAAAGGGAGGTAATTCAAGAAGCCAGTAATATCGCCTTCCGCCTTATTGTTCAACGTAAAAAAAATTCCCAAGCCAATCTGAAATATTTTTTTGATTACAACTACATTAAAATGTTATTTCATATTAATTATAAGTACATATATGTCCTGATTTTGTTCTAAAACTTCCATAATTTTTTGATTAGTTTCTGTGTTAACAACCAAATAAAATTAATTTACAATCAGAATCAATATATAAAAACAATGTCAACTTACCATGCCGAAAAATACTCCAATACCTGAATAAATTAACAATGGGCGACGACCAAATAAATTGTTAAATATAGAAGAACATATAGCAGCCATTAATTGTATCACACCAACTATGACTGACGCAATCTCTGGTTTTATGTTGGTCTTAGTTGATACCAAAATAGGTTGCAAATAAAATGAAACTGCACTATAACCCGTCATATTAGTCCCAATGCATATTAAAACACTCAATGAGAGGGACTTTAAAAACACTCTGTCTTTTAACAGTGCAATTTTGTTGATTTTTATTTCTTTACTTGATTCATAGTCCTCTAGCTCTTGTTTAACTTCTACGTCTGAAGATCGGATTTTAGAAAGAATTTCTATAGCTTCATTTTTTTTACCTAAAACATGTGGATAATACAGTTATCATAATGGTTTAACGCCATGAGATTGAGATGAAGTTTAACTCAAGTTTTTGCAATAAACTTTTCAATTCATGCCACAGGATATTTTCATTACTGTTTAACGAAATAAATAATATAATGAGATCTAAGATATTCGCGAGTATTCATTTAAATGAAACTATCATATTTCGAATGTACTATCTGATTTTTATTTTTATTCTGCCGGCATACAGAGCGGTATGCCAGAAAATTAAGAAATCGATAGGTGATAAAATAACAAGACCGACTGACAGACACTCACATCTCGTCTGCCCGTGATCACGGGTGCTGTAAAGTAACGGAAACGTCAGGAGTATTTAGTTTATAATCAAAAATAAAAATAGCGTAGTACATCCGAAAAATATTAGTTTCATTTAAATAAATAATATATCCCATAATATTTTATTGAAATGATTACATTTTTAATGAAAATTGTTTTACCTTTCGAATATAAATAGACAGGGCTATCAGGTAAAAAAGGTATTGGTAATGCTGTTACAACTGTGGCTGTAGCTAGGACCACATTAAGTGCTGTATAAGAAAGAAATGGTCCAGCAGCGTACGATACCACAATTCCAATACATGAATATATATGTAAGAATGCACCAAGGGAACCGCGATGTTCTTTCTAAAAAGTAAAAAATATTTCTCAATACGAGAATAGACTTGTGTACGTTTATTAGTCTTCAATAACCTAAATACTAAGATTGATTTAAAATTTTAACCATAAATTCTAAATAACTTTAAAAAAATAGTATTTACGTACTACATTTCAAAATTTACATAATACAGAAACTATTTATGATATAATTTCTAATATAGTTTTGATAAACTTACACAGGCAATTTCTGATACGTATATAGGCACAACAACGAAAATATAACAGTCAGTTAATACCATGATAGCTCTACGTAGTATCAACATCCATACTTCGTTCGCGAATATGGTCCAAATAGATGCAAACATTCTTGGTATGGTGACCAAAATAATGCAGTACTTTCGACCGATTTTATCTATAAGAAGTCCAGCTAAGAAGTTTGCTAAAAAACATGGTAAAACAGAAATGAACATTTTTATAAGCGAAGAGAGGAATTCTAAATACAATAAATAGAAGATTCATTAAGATTATTCAACGAATTCATATTGCTTACAGAAATATCTTATTTATAATTAAATCACTAGTTTTTTTCCCGTATATTTTTGAGTATATTCCACAAATATCGAGTATCATGGAGGAAAAATAAGGGAGGTTTATTGGGTTAATTATTTGTTTGTTGTTAATCAAAAATATAGGCTTTTTTTCAATGCAAAAAAATATTTTCAAAAAAACATACTTCCAAATGCGGCTAAGTAACCTCCAGACACGATCCATGATCCTTCTTCACTGGTTATGGGTCTGTAAAATGGAGGTTCATTATCCTTTTCAAGTTTCACGAGCATTGGAGACGACCAGATTAAATTTATCCCAGTTGTAAATGAAACCAAGTTAACTGAAAATAGTTTAAGTAATTAATGTAAACAGAAAACTTCAGTGTCTTTAGAGAGTATAAGTTTTGATAAAATTTAAGTAATTTAATATTCTCTTATTTATAATTTATGCAAAAAATAACAGTGTTGTTGAATTCCTTATAAGAGACTTTTAGTTCATTTATCAGGTTTTTTAAACCACAGCAAACTTAAATAGGACAAAATTATAGATGTCACATCTTTCTTTAAATTCTCGGTTATGTTCTTAGGTTAAAACAATATTATTTTTTAGGTTCGCCTGTGTTATCTACAATCAATAAATGTCAAGAGAAAATTGAGCGTATTATTTCTATTTATATTAAATACGTTACGAGAAAAAAACAACATATCAATACATATTTGATACACAGTAATCATTGTTTTGATATTAATGTACCCATACTGTTATGTTATTGTAAAAATTATAAATCTCTATCGCTGGAACATTTCACTAGTTTACTAAACAGTGTCATGGATTTGGGTCATTTTTAAATGTTGCCAGTATGAATAGTTTTTTTTCGATATTGAAATGTTAAGAACACTAGATTACCAAACCTGATAATCTACATTTGTATTTCAAAAATCTACATACGACGAATACGCGTGAATTGAAACTAGTTTAAAGGGAGTAAGATAACAGAAAGTACTTCAATTTTGATAAAGGAATACTATATCTATTTATTGAAGACAAACGAGTTTGAGTATTCTATTGCAATATGTGATGAATATTCTTTTCACAAAGTGATATTATTATGGGTAATTTAGCTTATATAAGAAGGAAGTCATCAATTACCTGTCAATTAATTTAAAAACTAAAGAACAGACGTAGTAAAATTAAAGTTCGGTTAATATATAAAACTTTTCATAAATTATAGATCGAATTCGTAAAACGCTAAATTTCATAAGAATAAGAAAGTTTTTCTCTTATTACTAATATATACGAAGTGTAAAGAAAATTCACAGGAGTTACCAACAACGGCGCTTATTTCACCTAGAATCAAAAGCCATGATTCACATTATAATCAATGAACGTCTACAGAAATATCTGGCGTCAAATCTCTGATGAATGGGCAGATAAATTAAGAATCGTTTTACAGTCAGCAAATTGTCAAAATGAGATCACTGATAATGATGATCGGACACTAAAGTTTTTCTATGATTATGTGTTTCAATCACATTTTCAAGCGTTTGTTTGAGCAATATGGGACTGTGTAATATGAGACTTTGACAATGGCACTTGAATACTACTTGCAAGCAAGTATATATGGAGAAGGGAGAAAATATCAGCATACAACTACAAAAAAGTTATTTGTCTCATTTCTCTAATATTCAAAAATTAATAATCTCTGACATTCTTAAGATAATCTCTTTCAGAAAAGTAATTGGGTCTTGGAATAAAAATTAGAAAATCCTATGTACAATAACACACCCTGGCAAAAAAATTCAAATACGTATTGAAAGCTATGACGAGATATTATATTTATGGCCGAGTCTTCTTACCGAAACTTTTTATAAGATTGTCATTGGTGATTTCAATGGAAAATGGAAAAACGGGAAGACAAAAACCGAAATCAAAAATATTTTAGCTTTAGGCTTATATGTGCAGAAGAGAAAGAAATGGCGGAAACGCAACCCAAATTAGTTAAAACTTTGATTCTTTAAGTATTAACACAGCTGCTTAATTGCGTGGTCTGCAATAGCATTCCATCGGAAAGACGGAATAGGGGTGTAGTGGTACTTTTCATCATGACAGCTGATAAAAGCCTACTGAAGAGCTACTTACCGATAATCCTTTTAACCAATACCTATCTGAATCATTTAAATGTGATGTATGTACAGAAGAATTTTTGAATGTCAGTTCTATGAAAAAATATGTATATACAATATTTTTATATCTGGCTTCAGTCCTTCCCAATACATTATTATTCACGGATCAACATTTGTCTATTTATCTTAGAAAAACTGTAAATATAACCCCAAAAATCTATCGCTATTTCGTTTCATGTGATATAAAGCTACTGAATGAAGCATTTATTTCATTGGGACAATCTTTTATACAAAATTATTACATGTACTTAAAGAACCACATTAAAACACAATTATGAGTCAGCTACAAGAATGGAAAACAATGGCAGGACGACATTATTTATTGTGGTTTAAAAAATAATATAAATAATAATACATATAAATAATTGCCTCTAAATTACAAAAAAATAACCCCAGCATTCCTTCTTAGAAACATAAGGCAAAGGAGAATATTTTAAGGAAAACTACACGTTCTAGGAAAATTTTGCTCCTACTCGTAAATTATTCAATAGTATGTGAATTTCTTGTTACCCTAGTGAAAATATGAAGTACAGGAATGTCTAACCAGTTTTGTAGAAGGAAAATTTTTAGTTACTTGCTATAATATTAAGAATACGAAAAATATATGTCCACGATGTGAAAATTATCAACAAGTTGTTGTATAGCCTCAATTTAATTATTTTTAAATAAATTTTACCGGACCGACTTATACAACCTACAGATAAACTTTACCATCTCACTCGTTAACCATATAGAAAAGTTAAAATACTGTTAAAAGGTAAAATCTCAGACTTTCGAGGGAAAACATTACAATAAACTATACTTATGGATTTACTTTTCGTTTTTTTTTTTGTTTAAATATATATTACTGAACTTTGAACTTGATGGACTTACAAACACCAAGAAGAACTGACTAACCTTCAACTAATTCGCCAGTGATCATAACTACTACGAAATAACCGAAAATTCAGGTAAAATGTGTGAATACTTGAAGAAAATTCGATAAACCTAGTTTTACTTATTATTAAATGTATGTGCACTAAAAGAGGGTGTGTATCGCATGTATACTAAAATCTAAAAAGATAACCATAGACAGTTAAGGGTCATGAAAATTTGAACAAGACGTCACAAAGCAACAAGTCTGGCCAGATAGGCTCATTTTTAACGATATAAAATGTTATTTATATATTTAATCCTTTATCACTCGTCGGGCGCTTGTATTAGTAATAAATACTTTTATTTCAAGAGCATCATTACAATAAGGACCTATTAAATCACTAATATCTACTTATGTATCGTTTGCAATTGTACAAGCACTCAGGATAAGTTTGTATTACTAGGGAAATAAAACACCATGATAAAACCAATAACAAGAATTAATGTATTAGGTATTATTACTCCTTATTCGTCCTTCACTTTAACAGAATATTTAATTTTTATTGTTATTTTGATCAAACGAAAGTTTTTATAATTGTTTTCAAATTAAATCGTCCTCATGTTTATGTATTTGGTAAACAAAAATTCACGGGAAAGACTTGTTTAATGAATTTCGTTTTCAGAATTATGTTTAAAGTTTAACTTGTAATTGAAACTTAATTTGTTTTTTAAAAATTACTTATTCTATTTAAAATAATTGACCCAAAGTCAAAAAACTGTTTAAATTTTTGCAGTCAAGCTGGAAAATAGTTTTAAACCCAAAATCTATCTATTTTTATCCAAACTTTATAGTTATATGTATCTTACATAGTTAAAATATACTTTTTATAGAATAAAAGAAATATACATATGTGATAATTATTTGTATTTAAATTCGTATCTTATTAGATTTATTATTTAATTTATTCGTTTGAAGCTTATTAATATTTGAGAATGTAAATATTTTTTTCTTAATAACTAAAAATTAATAAAAAATATATAATCACCAAGAGCCACAATAAGATATTGTCGTGTAAGAGACGAAGGCCAGACCCACAACATTTCTTTATATTTATCACAACACCAAATTCAATTAATTTAAATATTTTTATAGTATATTAACAATATTCAATTGGAGAATAGAGACAGTTTACTATTTAATATATTATATGTAAATGTCGTGTAATTCAGATAACGTTAACATTACTATGGAAGTTTTATAATCTTTAATAAACTTATACATAAGTGCATGATTGATATGTTTGTGTACTTGCATATCTACATAGTTATGAAATTATGTTTTGATAGCTGCTTATTAATTTTTTTGTGCTGTATACTAAGAGTTAAAGATTTTTTTTCATATAAGATATTATTTTTCAATACAATCTAAATAGTATTAAAGCAATTTTTTTCTAAGGACCAAGTCATGTAGAACAATACATAATTGTATCTGTTTAATCTCATATTTTGGTAATTATTATAATGTTTTAAATGAAAAATTTAAATTAGAAAACAAATATCAAACTAGTTTGTAGTGAGATGTCAGTCATTCCTTGCTAAAACCTTTCCTTCCCTGTTCCCACCCTTTCCTTTGCTTCCTTTCCCACTTTTTCCCCAATCAAGGGCGGCAACATTGCGGATATCCATGGGCTACTACTACCTCCATCAGATAAACAGTCGGCTCGGTTGCCCCCTTTTCCTAAAAATAAAAAAACACTTTTATTTTTAATATGAACTAATATTTTGACAATTACCAAATGAATTATATCCTACACATATAGTTAATAATTGTGCTACCAATAATAATACTAGTTGTAAAATCTGTAATGTGTCTTGAATTGATTTACATAATACGTACTCGTATGTACATGATCGACATAAATCAACATATATAAATATAAAATAATATATATACGAAAATATCCAGACAAAACAAATAAATTGAAGCAACAAAATTCAGTAATTATAAACCTACATACGTAAATATAAAAAAGCTTTTTTTTAATACATGATATTATTCCAAGTTATGATAAGGATGTAAGGACTAGGCTCATTTCCATTTGCGTAATAATTATTACCGAGTAAAAAGTGTTACGTTGCTTTTAACGCAAAAAAAATTATTACTAACGAAGCCAGGGCTAAAAACATGTTAAATATTCTGAGTTATACCATCTATGATACATTTTTTTCTATTCATATATAACGTAAAACGATTTGAAAATAATTGCTATAACAATGTTGAAATCACACAGTCGCTGCGTGATTTGTATTACATTTTTATAATACACGAATTCATATTTCTGTGCTCTTTTCAAATAATTTAAATAATTTATTTCGTGTCAAGATAATTGCATAAGTAATAAGATAAACGATTAAATGCAGCGAGTAATACTCAAGTACTCCAGTGCGTTATAGATGGCACTGTGTTGTTACGTATCGTTTTATTACTGAGCTAAGCTTGGTTCGTTGCAATCTATTTCAGTTTATACAGCGGTACATGTATTAGTGGAGCGTGCCTTTAAGGCGATGCATGCTATGCCTCTGATATAATATAAAATAATACTTATTTATATGCAAAAAAATAATTTAATTTTTTTCATGCCAGTGTGTTAAACCTCTAAAATGAAAATAGTTTTATCTCCATCCCTCATACGACAATATGTAATTGTTACAATTGGTAAGTATATTGTTTTTACTAACGGTAAAATGTATTTTAAAATATATATGTATGTGTTAATGTTTGGTTTTTAAATAGTGTAAATAATATTGAGAGTAATAATTTATTTTAAATCCTATAAAAATATCAGATAATTTAAAAAGAAAACTTGTTTACAACAACTATAATTTAAATTGTTACTATTATATCTCGGCTTAAATATTTTATATTTACAAATAAAAAAATATTTATATCGTTGTTTTAAAACATTTTACGGTTCCTTGGGAAACCAACATCCCCAAAGACCATGCCATCAGGGTCAATAAATATTACGAGCTCACTAAGAATAGGTTTGTCATAAATTTGTGAAAAAGGAATAACAGCTAAATCTCTCTACAACCTACTAAAAGAATGGGGTCTATCCACAACTAATATCAATTAATTCTTGGAACGTACTTAGAATGCAGGCCTAGTAGATTCTTTTTTAAATTTGCTTAGATAGATAGAGGAGCTTGAACGATGGACGTGAGCGTTTAACGAGCATTAGATAGGGGTCCCTTAAACCTACACCTGGGTCGCAAGACCAAGGCACTGTTGACGCTCCTTTCCCTGCAATGCGATAGACCCGTCATCTGCTCAGTAAATCCATAGAATACTGAGAAATTTAGTGTCGCCATTATTAATCTTTGTTTATATTAATATTTAAAAAAATATAATACAATTTACCAGAGTTTTTTTACTAACAATTAAATCATAAAATTATCGATGTTTTATAAAATAAAAAACATTATAAGAATTTCTTTCGAATAAAAGAAAGCTTTTTTTTTATTTAAGACTATGGAGTCTTGGACATTAATTTTGTTCATTCAATGATTTATTTTCCGCTCATCCCTCGTTTCTAATTTATCTGTTGTACTACCCCATTTTTTTTTTCATATCATTTAGAAATTTTATATTCCATAAAAAAGCCAGGCTTATTAAAATAAAATAGATATATTATAAATCATAAAAATGCTTCCACTTCTAGTGTTTATTATTCTAACAGTACAATCAAGAGCGTATTTGTTATTTAATTACTATAACGGTAAATAAAATATGTACAAGGATAAAATTTCAATTTCTTATTCTTAATCGTTAGATAAAAATTAAGACAAATTTATAAGCTCTTATTAATTAATGAAAAATCAAAAGGAATTTTAATTAATTTTTCAAATTATAGACGTTTACTGAATTGTCTCATGTTTAAGCAGAAACTCTTCAATTAATTAGTTATTATCTATGGAAATTAAGTTCTAGGAAATTTATATAGGAATTTATTTGGAATTTAGTTATCTTTGGTAAACTAATCGAAACTGGATAAAGAAATTGGTTGGTTAGTATTTTTAGGTTGTGAGTTTAAATTTTCTAATATTGATTTTTATAAGAAACTAGCTGAGCCCGCGACTTCGCTCACGTGGATTTAGTTATTTTGGGCATTATATTTATTTTTTCAAACATTTCTTCAGCTTTATAAATTATAGCTGTTGCCTACGACTTTGTCCGCGTCAATTTCTGTTATTATATTAGAAAATTTAGTTTTTAAAAGAACATTATTATTTTAAAGTACTTTTGAGTAAATTATATTTTCAGTTTTATATCGGAATTATTTTAAAATTGTAATATCTCCTAAGATGTTCATTGAAATTAAGTGATTTCAAAGATAATTTTGTTTACAATTAAATATTTTTAATCAGCAGCACATTTATTTGGATATGGTAATTACCATAAAAACGGTTCTAGTGAGAAAATTTTAAAAGATTTTTTTAATCATTTCAAGATGAATAATTTTTATTTTTTAATTCGAACTAGTAGTTGCTTAGATAAGCGCTTTCAAACGAATAAACAAACATACTCTTCAGCTTTATAATATTATTATTGATATATGTATGTTTACATTATCTTTAATTTGTTTTAGAACTACATTTTACCAAACTTATATATATCTTATTATATATATTAAATGTAACAGGTATACAGCCGCAAGAAAATACAATGAAACATAATTTAGAATCTAATTCACGAGAATGCCTCGCGTTATAAAAGCAAGATATATTATGTTTAAATAAATAAAATATGTTCTGATTGTTAACGCCTTGACGCTTCAATATATATAAATAATATATAATAAAAATATTTCATTTAAGTCTAAAGCTCCATAAATTGATATAACAATTTACATTTCAACTTATCATTCACATAATAATCCTTTGTTTTTTGTATTATTATAACGATAGAATTCCTTTTATTGTATTTATACAACGATTACTCTTATATACAGTTCCTAGATTCTAAGTCTTATCATTATTTGTCTGTGATTTAACCTAATTTTATGAGATGATATGAGATATATTAAACCAATAATAAATTCGCTGTTAAACGACTGATATACAAAAATCTGTAATTATATTCAAAAATTTAATATCGGTAGTCAGTGAACTTGAACAAGTGATGTTCGAGTTTTCAAAAATATTATAACTGTCATACACAAAAAGGAAAATTCTATGTTAGTTAATATAATTACACATTTTTACGTATTTTATGTCATGCCCTCTTTAATTTATCGTAATGGTGCTTTAAAAACGAACAGTTATAAGCATTTGTTTTGATGCCTATAACAAAATATACGTCCAGAACTTGAAAGAATTTTTTCAAGTTTTGCAATTAAAGAAACAAGTTGACCCTCTCATTCATTGTGGAAAATATGTATTAATAGCCTAAGTTGTCTTTGGATTTTACCCATTTAGATTTTTTCTTGCACACCTAAAAATAAATATCTAAAATGACACGAATGGTAAAATTAATAATTTCAAACAGTCTTTGGAAATTATTATGTACAACAATTTTACAATAACGGTTACACTGAGTGTGTCCTTGAGACGTCCATACCAACTGCATAGTTTAAAAAAATATGTGTCATTTAAACACAAAATTTTAATTAAATAGTGTGGAAAGATAAAACGACAAGTAATAAATGCAGTTTGAATACATTCAAAAGAAGGAGTGTTAATAATTGCTCTAAATATATAGTATTTGTATTCGTTTAATCACTACTTACAAGCAATGTTAAATAGCATTGTGTTTTATGCAGTTTTTTTCGTAACAGTTAGTGCTTACTAAATAGAAATTAGACGTTAGTTTTACAACATTTCTACTATATAACTTTGATTGTCATCAAAACGTTGAGAAAACTCTTTTAAGCACTTTCCCTATTGCTCATTCTTCCCATTTACCTAAACATGTCCACTTACAAAACCTTGTTTATATCATGAAACTCTTAAGTGTCTAAATAACTAATAGGTTACGCCATTCACATATTGATCTACTTCTGAGATCCTTATACTGTCAATAGTTACATACTTCTTAGCAATCTTATCGCTCCTAAAGTACTTTAATCTTAACAATCTAATACTATTATGACACTACTCGACCTTTTTACGTCAAATTTCTATTCAACTATTCAAAAAATTACAAAACAAAAAACAAAATTACTAATAAATAATACGCATATGTATTAAATAGTATTGGTACGCAAATTCTGCTCATACAATTTTTTTAATTCTATATTTATATATATTTTTAACCTGTTATAGCTAGTTTGTTATTAATAGAGGTGTAATTTTAGTTATAAAAAAGATATTTTATTTATGGGTATTACATTACAATAGATATTTATTTGTGTTACAGTAAATTTAGGATCGCTAACAACTGGCATGAGCATGTACTGGTCATCTCCAATGATTGTCAAACTATCAAATGGAACAGACATCCCTTTGCCACAACCAATTACAGAGAAAGAAGGATCATGGATAGTTTCAGCAGGTTATTTAGCTGCAATCGCAAGTATGTCCTAATTTTCTCAATTTACGTCGATTTACTTTGCAATATATACTTAATCCATATTTATTTGAATTTATTATATATTTTTTTTCTAAACCATTCTACTGTTCCTTGAATATTTTTTAATATTAAATAAGCATCGAGTAAGGCGATAATATAATATTGTCAACTTAACCAAATTTTCAAACAATCTAACCTAATCAAATATTTTTTATATTTTCCAGCTAATTTTCTAGGAGGACTGCTTATAGATAAAATCGGTCGAAAATACTGCATTATTTTGGTCACCATACCAAGGCTATTTGCATCTGTTTGGACCATATTCGCAAACGAAGTATGGATGTTGATACTATGTAGAGCTGTCATGGTATTAACTGACTGTTACATGTTTGTTGCTATCCCGGTATATGTATCAGAAATCGCTAGTGTGAGTAAAAATCCTTTATTTGCTGTATAGTATCGAAAATTTTATGAGTTTTTCAATATAAAAGCTATTTTTTTTAGAAAGATCACCGTGGACCACTTGGCACATTCCTACATATCTCATCGTGTACGGGCATAGTGATAACTCTCGGTGTGGGGCCATTTCTGTCATACACAGTATTCAATGCCATATTAGCCGGCGTAATAGTTATAACGGCATTACCTTTACCATTTCTACCAGATAGCCCCTTCTACCTATATACCAAAGGTATTTTTTTTTTATATCAATTGAAACAAGTTATTGGTAATAATCTTATATTTAGACAACATCGTGCAAACTATCTCATTTAATTCTATATTCGATCTTCTTTATATTTTGAGAAAAAATACTATTACAATGAAATAAGCGTCACTATTGTTATTTATTTTTACAATACATAAATTATTTCAGGTAGAATCGATGATTCGTTAACAGTTTTATCAAAAATTCGAGCCTCCGACGACATAATTAAACAAGAAATTGAAGATTATAAATCAGCAAAAAGAGTACAAATCAATACACTTGCTTTGTTCAAAGACAAAATATTTTTAAAATCTCTGTCACTGGGTATTTTGATTTGCGCTGGGTCCAATGCTATAGGCTACAATGCTGTATCGTTTTATTTGCAAACTATTCTGGATTCGACTAAAACTAGTGTTCAGTCTGAACATGCATCAGTTGTTATTGGTTGCATTCAACTATTCGCTGCCTTATGTACTTCTTTCTTTAATAATACTTTTGGAAGACGACCTATATTGATATATACACTCGCTGGCTTATTTTTAGGAATGGTAAGAAAATTTGAAATATAAATTATACTTTTAAAAAAATTTGGGTTAAGGTTGACCACAAAAAATGCTCTTCTTTTTTTCATATTATTCATCTTTTTGACAATCTCATAATTGCTCACATACATATTTGAAAGATATAGTAACATATAAAATAATAACGAAAACGAATACGACTAATAAGAAAAATATATTTATCATAGTTAACAATTTAATCGATTCATAGCAGTTTTAAGAAATTTAAATTAAATTTAAATTTAATTTTTATTTTAAGTTTAATTTCAATATTTTGAACTATGAATTTTTGTTTGCAAATATTATAGCTAATACATAACGCAATTAAATCTTATGCATATATTTTAATCAGAAAATGTAGTACATTGCGTTTTACTCAATGATTATTATATTATTTAATTTAATATTACCTACTCTTTCAGATTGGACTCGGTACTTTCTTCGAATTGACTTCCAAGGAAAATTATATTGTGACTGGTTTTCTAAATTATCTACCAATCATTTCTTTGATAGTTTGTACCTATTGCTTTAATGTGGGTAAGTAATATAGCTATTTATTTTAACACTAATAATTATGAAGTTATTCTGATATTAAAATCACAGAAAACAAAGATACTTATGAATGAAGTTAAACTTAAACTGTTCTTTTTTGTCGTAATCCGTAACCAAATACTTTTTTTAATTTAAAACTTACAGAATGTTACATCAAATATAATCTATGTATATATCAAAAGCCTATGAAAAACAAAAATATCTAAACCTTATTTTTACTGGAATATAGTTTCTTTTCATTTTTTTCTGTATGTACTAATATTTCATAATATAAAATTGTATGTAATATAATATTTACCTTCGGATGTTTCTTTAAAAAAAATTAACTCCCATTTTCGTACCTTATGTACCTAAATGAGATTTATGTAATTCTAATACATATATATATATTATGAAAATTTAATCAGATCGTCGGAATTTAAAAGTTATTTAGGCAAAATTATCAAACATACTGTTTCCTGTCTACAAAAACATTTTCACAACGAAACACTTTAAAAGCGACATATATTATATTATAAACAATTAATTCTTATATACCTTAGTTGTTACACTTTCTCTTTACTATGAGCATTACTATATAAATTATGATTTTATTTATTTATTGAATACTTATTGTTTATAATTAAATTTCAGGTATCGGCTGCCTTATCTTTGTAGTTACAGCTGAATTATTCGATGGAGCGGCAAGAGCTATCGGTGTCTCAATATGCATTTTAGTATCACTACTAATAGTATTCTTGACTACCAACTACTTTGCAGAAATGGCCGTAAAATTAGGACCGTCAAACACTTACTGGTTTTTCAGTGCAATGTGTGCATTAGTTGGTACATTAATATACTTCTTTATTCCCGAAACTAAAGGGAAAACTTTCAGTGAGATTCAAATAGCTTTGGGAAGAAAAAATAATGAAACTGAGGATAAGGAAAGACAAATGAGTTAGACTGCTTTTTATTTTAATTTATTTAATGAATCCGACGATTAAAAAGTCAAGATTTTTTTAGGGAATCTGCTTACACCGTATAGTCCTATTGGCAATTTTTTTCCCTAATGCCAATTCCAGTGATCAAACCAAAGAACTATTTTTCGTACCTAATTAAGACTTAATATACTGTAAATATAAGCTGACTGTTTTATTAATATAATTAAAATTTATTTTCCTTACATTTAATATAAGTTTTTATGAGTCACAACATAGAGTTTTATACAATTCAATTAACTACTAAGTAATACAATCGACTATTACTCTAATTTAGATTTCTATGTGCTTTACTTATAAGAATTACTATAAAAGTAGAAGACCCAATTCTTTGTTTTTTTTTCTATCATTTATTAAGAATACTAGTTATTTTAGTAGGGGTTATGGTTGATTGAAATGCAAAACATATTGAATTTAATCTATCCGATATTAGAAGCAATGATATTATTTCTTACTTCGTCATCAGCCTATCAGGGCCCACTGCTGAGCAAAGGCCTCTTTCTCACATGGAGAAGGTTTGAGCATTAATCACCACGCTTGCTCAAGACGGGTTGGTGATTTCAAACTCATAATTGTGAAATTATTTCTTACTTACTATTGAAAATCTGATTTTCACAGTAAGGAGACAGTCCTCACTTAAGCGTAACATTTTATCCATACAATAGTGTCGTTCCAGCGGCGTTCGTTGTATTTTTTCGTAATTAAAACAGTTGTATATAGAGAATATATATATATATATATATATATATATATATGTGTGTGTGTGTGTGTGTGTGTTTTTTTATTATTGTACCAGTTGATTATATAGATTACAATATAGTGACCGGACTAAAGTGGACACTAAGAATTATATATATACAACCAAAACAGGACACATTTACTATATTTTAGGTTTGCTTACAAAACCCTTATGAATGTTCTTTGTGAATAAATAATTTGAAGGAAGTGAGTTTTTAATCTACAATTACAATTAAACATATATTTATTTTAATAATTTAGGTTATATTGAGCGAAAAGATTCACATCTCGTCTTCGTGATAATGGTTGCTGAATGACTTATGCTAACCGAAACGTCGGTAGTATTTAGTTTTTATAATAATAAAATACGCGTAATATAATCCGAATAATATTAGTTTCGTTTATTAATATACATTTTTTTTTTATATAATTTTAATGTGTATCCAATTATGAAAATAAAAAAAGACGTCATCACATTTATTAGGAAAGAACTATCACTGTTACTTTTAGTATTTTCACATATTCACAGTGAACTTAAACAGTTTTTACTTTAAACTTAAACTTTAAACTAGTCAGTGCTAGCTTAGTGGTTAAAGGGCCCGCCTCTCATGCACGAGGGCGCGGCTTCGATCCTGGCAAGTAACAATGTGATTTTTCCAAGTCATATGTACTTTCTAAGAGTATTTAGACACCACTAACAGACGGTGAAGGGCAACATCGTGAGGGAACCTGGACTTATAATTTCACAATTATAAGTTTGTAATCACCAACCCGTCTTGAGCAAGCGTGGTGATTAATGCTCAAACCTTCTCCAAGTGAGAAAGAGGCCTTGCTCAGCAGTGGGCTCTGATAGGCTGATGACGATTGACGATTACTTTAAACATATTACTTTTCTTTTTACATTTTATTATACATTTCATACATCTTAAATCTTTGAAACGTGTAGTATATATTTTCCAAATAGTGTTTCTAAATGATTTATTAATGAGCACAAATGCAATTAGTAACTAATTATGTGGATGTTAATGCCATAAAGAGTAAGTATTAAACACTACCTGTTATGGTAAATACTTGAAATTTTCTAGCGATAAACTAAACAATATATTGTATAAATGATTTTGAAATATAACATAGATTTTTTTTAGTTCCTGAGAAATCTACATTTTAAACATGGACCTGTATTCTTTAAGATTTTCCTTTTCACTTGTCCTAAAAACTAATATTTAATGAAACTAAAAAACTATGCAAAAGGCAAAATCACAACAAATTAAATTTTAGTATACTAAAAACCTTATCGTCACATTTTTTATAAGAAATTATGAAAGCTGAAATAAAGAGTAAATAAAAATAATATTAAAAAAAGTTAATATATTTACATTTTATCACGTTCATCAAACATACATAGTTATTTAACTATACACATAAATAATTATAAAATGTATAGACTAATTCTTAATATACAAAAATCTGGCATCCATTAATTTATACGCTACAATAGATAGAATTTTTCATTTATAGATCAGAAGTATATTGGGTAAATACAAATAATATATAATGTATATATTTACAAAATTATTTATACAAAACAAACAATTATCAATTATGAAGAAAATATGATATTTATTAAATAACAACTACTACAAGGCCAAAAAATTTCTTCCCAGTCATTATAAAGAATTACAGATCAAACATTTATTGTGAGATATTTAAAACTATACATCATCATCATACATTACGCTAATACTCTATGTAGTAGGCACCTAAAGTTAAATTTTAATTTAAATGCACAAAAACAAACACATTCAATTATTTCTACTCGTTATAAACTATTTAGTTGTTGATTAATTGACTTATCATTACCTTTTCTAAAGCACTGTATATGAATAAGTTTTCTGGACAACACAGTCTGGATTTCACTGTATGTTTTACCTTTAGTTTCAGGTAAAAATAACATTATTAATAATATCAAAATTAAACACATTATGCTAAAGAAGAAGTAGGTAGCAGCCGGTCCAAATGCTGATGTCATCAGAATGAAATATTTGGATGTCAAGAATGTCTGTAGGCTTGATGCAAATAAACAAATTGAAAACCCAAAGGCTCGAGCCTGCCCGTCGAATAATTCAGTTGTGACCACGAAGATTTGATTGCCAAGACCTTAATAGAAACATAATTTATTTATATATAACGTATATAAGTAAATAAAACGATAAATTGAACCGTTGACCAACTGACAGACATTCACATCTCATCTGCACGTGATAACGGTTGCTGATAAATAACCGAAATGTCGGGAGTTGTAGTTTTCTAAAATAATGAAATACGCGTAGTAATCCGAATATTATTAGTTTCATTTAGGTAAATTGAACCTATCCTTACTTATATCATATAGAAAAATTGTCATTGTTATAAAAATTACAATAAAAAATACGATTTCTGTTCCTTGGAATATGATGGGCAGATTTAGAAAATACATTTTCAACAGGCTGATCTAATAAAATGTTATTAATCTAATTTCAGCAACAAGATGCCACTAAAAAAGACGATCAAGTAGTGTTCTAAAAAAAAGATATATTCAAAAAGATTTGCTACTGTTTAAGATATTAAAGTTGTTTATACATTCATTAACATAATTCAATTAAATTAATTAAAATAAATTACGCCATGAGTCACGTGTGGTTATATATCAATTATAAAAATTTACATCACTTACCAACACCAAAGGAATAAACGAAAAGTATCAATGACACTAGAGGCAAATAATTTAAGAAACCAGTTATTACGTAGCCTTCTGCTCCGCTGATCATGAAAAATATGGCAAGACCCACCTGAAAGAAGATTTACTTAAAGAAAGGAATTAAATTCGAAACGCTTACTAACAAAACGTAAATACTATTTTAAAATAATACCAGCGTCACACTTCATAGTAGCTTAATTTACTTTAAATTAATATTAAATAAATAATTCACATTAACTGCCTATAAAAACAAAAAGATTTACGAAATAAAAGAAAATGTAATCATATTAATTTTTAAAATAACTCACCAAACCCAAAAACATGCCGAATACCGTATAGATTAAGATAGGCCTCCTGCCATAATTGTTTGTGAAGAATGAAGTACAGAAAGCTGCAAATAATTGTATACAGCCGATAATAACCGATGATATTTCTGGGCTTAAACTGGTCTTGGTTGACTCAAAAATTGCTTGCAAATAAAAGTATATAGCATTACAGCCAAGTGAATTAGAACCAATACAAACTAATAGACCCAAAAACAGTGATTTTCTGAACAATTTATTCTTCAGAAACGATAAAGCATTGATATTTTCTTTGTCCTTCGATAATTTATAATCTTCTATTTCTTTCATAACAATGCTTTCAGAATCCCTGATCAGTGATAGAACTTTTACGGCCTCTTCTTTACACCCTGAATAAAAAATAATATATTTAATTCTATGCAAGAAATTTTTCATTTTACATACTATATCCAATGCCTTACCTTTCGAATAGAGATCAAATGGGCTATCAGGTAAAAATAAAACTGGTAAAGATGTCAATGCAATTAAAATCGGTATGATTGAATTGAACATCGTATATGATAAGAATGGACCAAGGCCGAGAGCTATAACAATTCCTGCACATGCCATTACGTGCAGTAACGTACACAAACAACCTCGGTGCTCTTTCTGAAAGAATAATTCTAGTTTAAAAGGTAACATATATTATGACCACATTCATAATTTTTTTCGTAGTTCGGTAAGCCTAAAAAACGCATGACAGTTCTTGAGGACTGCAGTAATATTTGAAAATGCAATGTTTAATGGCTTAAAGCAATATGCATTTATAGAAACATTTAATGTTTATGTAATACTCATAAAAAAAAGTGTCATATAAAAAAAGAGGTTCAAGAGTTCGTTCTAAAAGTTGTATTGACATATTATACAGGAATTTCTCTCTTCTTATAATTTAATAGGCGGTAGAAAAACGTGAGGAATGAATTGATATTACAACCCACTCACAATTACATGTTTCGGTTGAATACGATTTTGAAGGACAATTCCTTTTTTTTAATCAAACATGTGTTTCAAATTTAAGGCTTCATAGAGTCATGTATAAGAGTTTAATAACTCAAGATTAATGAGATCAAATTTAATTTAAACTCAAGTTTAACGCTCGGTCAAACGAAAAACATGATATTAAAACTTTCGCAAACTTTACAATTATG